AAAGCCCCGCTCTCATCTCCTTCCCTCACAGAGCTCCCGCAGGGGGGCTCAAACGAACAGCGCTCGGGGCCCTCAGTCACCCCTCGAAGCTCTAAGGGTTGTCCCAAGGCCTTTCTTCACCTAACACTGTTAATAAGCATCGTAACAATGAAACTTCAAATTTCCTCCTGTATTTGTTAACTTACATTGCCACTCGAGCCCCTAGAAACAGATAAAGCTTGTTCTTTTTACTCGAGCACTGCAGCACATAAGCTACTCAAAATCCTTCAGCAGCAGGCCACGTGTGCTGTAGTGTATGGACACCACAGCAGACCTAACTGCTGGTTTTCTGGTATCTTTCCTTATTTTGCAATCTCATGGTTATTTCCTCATACTGTTTTTGCCTTGCCCGAAATTAGCAACTTCAAGCCCTCTCACCAGGGCTGAGAAACAAAGAACAAAAACAAAATCTCCCCCGCCACTACTAAGAAAACCAAAAGAAATACTAGCGTTGTGATCTGTCGAGATGTAGGGCCCTGGGGGGAGCAGGTGTTCTAGCTCCAGCTCTCAGACCCAGTGCATCTGCCTCACAAGTGGCTGTGACATTGCAAATGTATTAAAAAAGACCAAAAAAAGTCAAAGTAAATGGAGAAAACATGTAGGCCTTTGCAGAATTCAGACTACAGGTTTAGCGAAGAAAGAGCGCTGGCTTCTCAAAAGCCGTTTGAGCAACAGCATGAAAGAACAAAACCTTCTCCATCTGGACACACGATAAAGGGCCCAACACGAGATGACTTGTAGGCATGCCACTTCCTACAAAGATTGATCACAACCAGTAATTGTTTGATTCACCCACTCCCTCAGGAACGAGAAAGGCATTAATCTCGCTGCCCTTTTCTGTGTTCCGCGTGCACAGAAAAGAGGGAGGCAGCAGTAACACTGCAGTTAGGCACTGCGCGACTGAAACCCGCACAACACCTGCGGGCATCACTGCTTGCTCCTGCTATTGCTACTGACACCTACAGCGTCACCCGAGCTAAGCCTCTTAGAGCCGCGCAGGTAGCGCTCAGCCTGAAGCCTCTTCAGATGACAGGCTCTTGGACACTTGAATCACACCTCCTTCAGGAGGCTTGGCAAGTACGCAGACCAGACTCACCTTTCACGTTTTAATAGGTACAATCACAGAAAGAGGGCCATAATATTCATAGCATTCCCTGTAAGAGAATCCAAGACCTTTGAGAGCTTATAGTCAGGCCTACAGCCTGCACAGTACAGAGGCGACGTTCTTAACATTTTACACCAAGTGCTAAGGCTTACTTACAACATTGCTTTAACAGAGTCAGTGATAGTACCACACCAATTTTAAACAGAAGTGAATGCCTACAGGAGAGGGCAGCTATTGAAGGCAGCAGGATATGTCTGCTTATCCTTTCTACGCAAGGCTAATAGGGTTGGTGGTGGCAGCAGGACCACAAGGGAGAGATTGCGTGGAAAAAAGTTCCAAGATGCTTCAGCTAGTTAAAAGCATGTGAAGGAGATGCACTGCTGCACACGGCTCAGGCATGAAAAATGGTACTAGGTTCTTCTAGCATTTTGGAAGTTGTCTTGTACAAAATGTAAAAATAAACCAGAGCAAGAAAGACAAGCTTCATGCTGAAGCATTTAGATTTTAGGATTATTAAGATGACTGTAGGAGATTACCTCTTTACTGAGAGGGAAACAAAGTGTAAGAAGACAAAGAGTCACAGCTCTTTGCTTTGCTATAGAGTAAGGATAAAACTAGTATTTTTTTAATGCCTTTGTGCATTCTTTATACAAATTCGGAATAGTTATTCTTCAGACTAAAATCCATATATTTAAAAAATATCAGCCATCAAGCTCAGAAAAAACCAGCCCAGTAGGCAGCAGGTCTACTGATGGACTGCAGGATGTAACCTGGCTCAGAACTGGATTGACTGCTGGTTTTTTTGCCAAGCAGAAAACACCACACAGTGCTAAGCCATTCCTGACGAAAACTGTGTTGTTGTTGGCAGGAATGTGAAGATATGTTTACAAAATACTTTGCATACAAAGACAGCTTCACCCAGAACCATCACTGTACATGCTACAGCACAATATACAGTAGGAATAATACTGTCTGCCACAGAAAATGCATGTGGCAAATGTCTTTTAATGATGGAACCATCAGGACCTAAAATCAAAAAGAGCACTTCCTATATATTTTCCTGAGTAAGCATACAAAGAATGTGTAACCACATCATATGGAGTAAAATGGATTAAAAAGTGACAGTTCCACTCCCTTAAAAACTTTTTTCTTTCTTAAAGAAAATTTTATTAATAACGGTACCCAGACCACTGAGATCTTTCTAAGTCAACGAAGTGCCACAGAATTGGCACCACTGCAAGAGTCACGTTTTCATCCACGTTCAAGGTCAGTAAGCTGTTGCCTGTGACATGTGGCAACGCAATTCAGCTTGGTAATTTTTCCTTGCCAACTCCAGGAAGGAAGATGGTGCTTGTAGGCATAGGCAGTCAAACTTACCACAGACCAGAAGTTTTCCTTCATTCCTGTAAGTCATTTTTGCATTATGCAGATACATCCAGAACAGCAGCACCAAATGGCCTTTCTTATATTGGGACTAGAGCAGCCATCAGTATTAACCCATTTCTTTCAATGGGCCGCTTAAACCCTGTGCTCTTTGCTGCTTTCTCTCAAGGTAGCGAGCTCGGGCATTCAGGATTGATTTATCATCGTTCCTTCTCTCCATCTTCTTTGCAGCACTGTCTGTGACTTCTTCTGGGGCCAGGGGAGGGCAGAGAGGAGAGAGAGAAATATATTTTTCTGTATTCAAAAAAAACCGCTTCGAAACCAGCATTACAGGTCCTCTTATTTGTTAAATGTCCAAAAAACCCCAAAGAATCTCAAGTGCTTTGAAAGTCATTAAAACGGCTGACTGGTGCTTGTAAAGAAGATGGACTGTACCACAGAGGAGAGGAAAAAATAATCATGCCTTAACTCCCATGTCAATATTTGCAGTTGGGGTCATCCCACCCCCAAATGTATATCTCGCTATGTTTGCTTTATTACAACAGAGACTGCATCTTGTGTTCTATGCACCAGTTTCTTCTCTAGATCACAAATAGCAAACTCTGGTTTAGGCAGGAGAGGGACAGCACTGTGAAAAGGAAGAAAGCTTAGAATAAACTATCTTTCTAAACCTCTGGGGGTAGAAGGAGTGAGGATAACACACAGATAAAGGAATCCGAAAAGTCAATACTCCAGATCAGACGCCATTAGAAACACACATTCTCTCTTGCTCCCAACTGAGCCGAGACCTTGGGAGTGCTTCTCCCAGAAGGAAAGAGAAACAGGAAATGCTTTCAGTTCTATGAAAAAAAATCATTTGAAGACTATGAAAAAATAAAGCATTGTGTAAATGATGCAGCTACTGCAGTGTGTTCCTAGGGCTCTGGTGCTGAATTCTTTGATATGAGGAAGGAGCTTAATCAGCACTCACTATTGGAAGATTTGTAAGTATTCTCTCCTGGAATCAAATAAGAGTTCAGCTCATACTGCAGCCTTTCCTTCCACTGGGCACAAATTAAGTCTTGTCAGCTATTCAGCCACCTATTTTTATGAAGCTCGCAGACATATAAAATCTATTAGTCCACTATTAGTCACTATTAGCCACTATTAGTCTCAAATTCATTTATAATTGCCTGGTGGAGTTAAAAAAAAAAAAAAAAAAAGGGGGGGGGAACAAACCTCAGCTGCTTAGATTTTAAATAAACAGATGAAGAGATGAAGCCCTCCTACTTTATCCAATAACAGAAATATCTTTTCCAGCAAATTTATAACCAAATCCAATTCATAGTTTTACTATTTCAAATGGTTGTTTTATACAATAATACAGACGAGAGATGCTAGTTTGAACACAAGAGTCCACGGTTTATCCGGTGAAAGAGAAATTGAAGAGAGTCTGCACTGCCACTGCTTGCACTGTATATTAAATTAATGTTTTGGAAGGGTCAGCTTAAGAGTAAAGAGGCCCTTTGAATACTTGGCTGCTTTACTGAACCTGCTGACAGAAGAATTCAAAGAATGTCAAGTGGCTATATCTGTTAGCATGCACCAGTCTTTTTAATCAAAACAGATGATTTAAGTATATGGTAAATTCATTGTCAGAAAAAGACATCCACCAAAATGTGTCATACTACTTTGCTTTTTATAGCCCTTAGCACCTCTCTCTTCTTCTCAGGATGGTATTATCTTAGCAACTCATGATTTCTATAGCTAGAGGAGAAATACCCTTCTCAAACCTAAATAATGATTAGACTCAAAATGCTTGTCTTCAGTTCTGGTTTAAGTTCTGCTCCTACCACTTACAGTAAACCTGGAGGAAAAGGGAGCATGACAAGAACTAGTATGCACCCACCACTACATACAGTGCCAAGGCAGGATAAGAGAGATTGCAGAGCTGCAGTAAGATGAGAAAACAATTAGTGCTACATAGAGCACAAGGCAAGCACACCCAAATTAACACCTCCTACTCCAAAAATCATGCAATTCAGAGGCACAATATACACACGCATGTCCACAACCACCAACAGTACTACTAGTCCGTATCTATGGGAGGAGTAACGTGCCTACCATATTGCCTTTTAAGGTCCTCTTTGTATTTCCACTTAGTTATTTCCTCTTCAGTTACTTCTTCCCGTGCCACACTGCTCAGTTCATACGCATCGATTTGATGCAATTTGGGCAACAGGTCTTTAACCCATTCATAGCGAATTGGACACACTGTCCGGACATAGATTTTGGATGTCACTGTGACATCATGGAAGATGATCCACTCAAGATGAGTCTCCTGGTTGTATAACTGAAAAATAAGAAGAGTATTTCAGAACTGATTGAGAATAACTTCCATTTCTGGAGCACCATCCACCGGAGTATCCCAATGCTTCAGGTGTAAAAGGGAGGTAAAGCTGACATTACCCTAAGTTTTCAGATAGGGAAACTGAGGCATAATGACTTGCTTAAAATTGCTCAAGATATCAAAAGAGAGCCAGAGAGCGAGCTCAATCTATGTTGTGCCTCTTTTGTAAGCCAAACACCGAATTTGAAGAGGTAAGGCTCTTTCCCATCCTCAAAGGATACTGTACTCCAGTGATACTGCATCAGTGTTTCTCCCAGCCATAGGTTAACACAAATCAAACAGAAGATGACGAGTTTACAGCAAGCTGCCTCTTATTCCTTCTGCAGATCCTTTGCTACTTTATTAATGGAACTCGGTAACTTACTGTAGATGAAGGATGGATATAGACCATGCTGCCATGCCCGTCCATTGTGCAGAATGTCCTGCCTGCAGATCTAAAAAATTTGTGGAAAGTTTTTATATACACTGAAACATACTTTGCTGTGATTAGACAGCAACATAAACTAAGCAAATCAGCAGCAGCACAGTAGATAATAAGCAAATATGTACGTAGGGCAAGATCCTTCCAGAAAAAAATGTAAACAACAGATGAGGAATAAAATATATCCTTCTAATTTACCACAGTAACCCTGCAGGTCTAACTAGGCAACGATAAACAGTGTTTGGGATTTTAGTCTTTTTGGCATCCACGATCACTTGACATCTTCAGTGCACTTTAGTTTAATATCTGGAACTGCTTATCACCTTGCAAGTTCATTTCACAGATAGAAGAACTAAGATATCAAGGACTTAAGCAACTTGCCCAAGAACATAGTGAGAGTCAAAGACAGAGCGGCCACCAGGCTTCCAACCCTGCGCACAAACGCCACCTTTAGCTGCAATTGCTACTTTTAACAATAGAGCAGTCTAGCTATTCTGGTTCAATATGCAGCTACCACCTTAAAAAAAAAAAAAAAGGCATAAGCACCATATCTTTTCCATTCTGCAAAATCTATTACTTACCTCCTAGCTACATTGATAAAGTACCCTGCACACAGGCATCTTCTTAGTATTTCAGTTCTGGACCCTTCAAATTTTTCTTTAGGGAAGTCTGGCAGCTATGTAAAGAAAAATCAACATGAATTAGAATCTTTGTTAAAGAAACACTCCCTCCATCCCAGGGATTTAAGCCTTCTGTTTCACAATTCACAGAAACCACGACAAAAGGAATAAAACTCTTCTTTCTGCTTGTTGCCACCACCAGACCTGTTAGTTACACGAGCTACAGCAAGGATGCTCTAATAAAAATCTAAGTGGGTTAGTTTCTACTAGAGAAAGGCAACAGCCGTCTGGAAAAGGCTCAGTATTCCAGCACATGTCTTACATACAAACTTATATAACTCAATCACATTTTAAAAGCATGTTTTTCACCTGTTTCAGTTTACTGATTATTTCCCGAAGTTGTGTTTCCACACTAAAAGCAGATTTCAAAGCTCTCCAATGGATCCAGTGTTTCTGGCACCAAAGCGAAGGAGACTTGCTGAGAACAGAAATACTGGTATTACAAAGAAGCTCTTTGTAAGCTGAAGGCAGAAAGTTGCCTCTATTATTTGTTATGGTTGTACAAAGAAGGCAACCTACACAGCCAGATACTTTGTTAGTTTACATAAGAGGTGCCTTGATAGAAATTATGGATCACTCTAAGGAAGATATCTGCAGCTAGGTACAAGTACATACAAATGTACATAAGGAACATATTTAAAAACCACCATCAGTTGCAAGTCATGAGCAATGCCAAATCACTCACTTCAGGGAATCGTTTTATACCTTGATTTGCACTGTTCAAAAATATTTAAGAGAGTTGCAAAGTCATTGCATCCTCCCACTTGTGAGGAAAGTTCCTGGTGTCGAAGTTCTGCCTCCTTCTGTTTCTGAGGCTCCCCTGAGGAAATAAGTTACAGTTCACTTTAACAAAGTCCTTTTTATTTATCACTCCTACTTCATTTTCTATTAGCATCTCTCCATGGCATGTTCGACAGTCTTAGCTCTTTATTCACATTATTTTTAGATTCGTTTCTCCTCCACAGCTGCATTTACACTTTTCCTCCCCTTCTGCTGCTGCCAGACAAGAATATGTTGATGCTATTAAATCTGTGATTAATCTCATCAGTCAGCACCAGAGACGGAGCTGCTACTTCTAGTATCTTAGAAAGAAAGGCTACTACAAATTGCTCTCTCACAATCAATTCAGAGTAGCCATAAAACATGGACATGAAAAAGATACAGGAACAGCACCTTTAAACAAACAGTTCTCAAGGATCAAGTGAAAGTTTTACCCCGAGAGTGAAAACAGGACTGTTTAAATGGTGCTATGAAGGGATGATTTCATCTGTTGAACTCAGCCTTTGTCCTACCACTCAAGTGCCATAGTAATGGAGGTCTTTGAAAAAAGTCTAGAAAAAGTATGCGATATGTGAGTTTAGTGAGAATTCCCCTTCACTAAATGCTAGGAATGTGCTATGCAAAAGCAACATTTCCAATATGTTATTTCAAGTTCTGAATACCCAAAGAATTTCTTCCCCAGAACAACTTATTCCCCTTAGTAGCGGGGGATGGGGGATGTGGCTGCAAAGGCCAATGTACTGCACTGCTGCACTGCAGGTGAAGTCAGAAGTTTGCAGGTATTGCAAATAACACTACTGAAGTAAGGAGGCATGTTCATATACATATTGCACGCAAGTAAGTGTCTTCAGGATGGGACTCTCTGCATTTGTATCCTAATATATGGGATTGTCCTAATGTACGTGGGGTTGCTGGAGAGAAACGTGCATGGGTGCACTAGCTAGCTGAAAAGATAGTATGGGCATATTGCCAGATGGAGGATGGAAAAGCAAAAGCACATCTGTGGGAACGAGAAAGACCCCCGAGTAGAACCCAGGCTCTCAGCACTAATTATCAGCAGTGTCTTTAGCTGCTACAATAACAGACAGAGTTAATAGACTACAGAGTTAACTGGACAAGAGCCAATGAGTGACTAGAAAGGACAAAGTTCTCCCACAATTTTGCTGGATATAGTCTTTTCTCAGTTGGGGGGGGGTGGGGGTGGCTGAAAGGAAAGGAGACGGGAAGAAGGACATGGGAGACTGAGCTTAGCCCTAGTTACTGTCTGTAACATTTTTCTGACTGTCCATGCAGTCAGAAAAACACTGCAAACAGAGGCAGCGGCAGGTTGAGCTTCTCACAGTAACTAAATTGCTTTGCCTATTCAGTGTAAGAGAGTTACTGAACATAAAAACCAATTCAGATGCAACCAGTTTCCTTAAAATCAAAGCTAATCAGTCCCTGTTGTCTGTACTTAGACCAGAAGCAAATGCCAATAGCAAGACATCTGCTGTGGTGTGTTCTGGGTTTTGTATTTTTTCCCCCATAACAGTTTTTCCCCTTCCGACCTCTCAGCAATCCGTTAGTCTACCATATGCCGCTTTACAGCTCACAGCCTTGGGCCAAATACAGCCCCAGTTCAGTGCCATTTTGAAGTCTTTGCAATAGCTGCTGTCCAATTGCTAGTGTTCAATGTGTCCTTGACTTCAAGACGACAGAAAGCTGTAAGAGCGCATGGGCAAAGCTTCACTGTACATCTGTCCTAACCTTAGGTTCTTTCCTGCATATCCACTCTGAGGTATTCTGGGAGACTAAGTACGGCACTTGAGGAATCTCCCTCACACTGCAATATATTGCGCAAGGCATTAGTTTAAGGCAAACACTCATGCCTCCCACCAGCACTGCGCCCAAATGCGGACCCCAGTGTGCTGCCTAAGGGGGTTTATTTTTCTCTCGAGTAAGGACTTGTAATACTGTTCTTCAAAATATAGAACCAGTTATCACTTTATAACCTTGAAATACATTGATAACCAATTCACCATCTATTAGCACAGAAAACTATTGAAAGACCACAGAGCAAAAACAACAACAAAAAAATACACACATGGAAGCTGCAGGAAGGGTCTCCAGGTGAAGCAGTGTGTGTTGCCTAACCATTGCCATATTCCATGGAGAATTCCCCACCTACCCAAGACTGCTTTGAGATAAGGGACTTCCTACCTGGACGAATGAAGACATTTTCCACAGATAACATGGCTGCTATGGGAAGCAGCAGATCTTCACAGTCAAGAGAAGCAGCTTTTATGACAGCACAGGTCAGGTTGGGAGGGAGGGGAAATTGCACCAGGAATTCACCCAGTCTTGTCACGTGGCCTCTCCTTACCCCAGGAAAAAGATCCAAACACGATTCAACAAAACTATACTTCAATATAAATCATAACTTGCACACACACAGTCAGCCATCATATATGGACAAAGAGAAGGAAAGAAGCAATTCCCTCTGCGCTGTGCCAACACTATAGTCTGCATGTGCACCCAGAAAGCATGAAGCAAGCATCGCTAGCAAAAGAGCCTTTCCCCTTCCTCCAGTTTGCATATGCCACCTTCACCGCAATTCAGGGTAGTGTTTTAAGTGCATCAGATGCTTAAGATTAAGGATTTCTTTTTGCAAGAAGAATTCCTGGAAGCTTAGGATAAGATCTCTCTTCCTGTCTTGAGTTCTTGGATGGGCCTCACAGCCAGTGTCTAAGCACCTTCGTCACAATAGCCCTGGGATCTGCTGTCTGGAACTACAGCACAGAGAACTGAGGTAATTTGTCCAAGGTCACTCAGGAACATCAGGGCAACGTGGAGAAACTAATCTGTATCTATTAAGTCCTAAGCCATGCTCTAACCCTAATTTTACTCAGAATATATTTAATATCCAGTAGTGAACTTCCTGGTCAAATTCGGAAACACATTCTACCGCTGGGGGAAGTCCTTTAGTCCACACGAACAACTCTTAACACCAGTTCACTTGAACCATTAGATATAATTCTTGCAGTGACTACACCCCTTTATTTTTTTACCTGTCAATAGCATCACACTGGTAAAGTTGCTTGAGAGCTTCTAAAATAAGCCTCTCTTCAGGGCAGTCCAAATAGGGAAATCTATTGGGGAGGAGAGAAACAAACAAATAAATAAATAAAACCTCACTGTTCAGACTCAGTTTAGTTTTGTTAGTTTCCATAGTTATTCAAATATTCTTGTAACCTTTCAGTAGAGGTTACTGACCAAGGGGAGTATACGTCTCTTGATATATGGGTGAGTTACTACACATACAGCCTTATGGTAAAAAATTACAGTGACAGATCCCAGCATGGCACATGCATAGGTGAACTGCATTTTTTGTTCATATATGATCCAAATATTAAACATCACACAGATGAAGCATTTCGGATATAAACATCAATATTTTAAAGGAACACTATTAACGAAGATCACTGTTGTTTAACTTTGGAGATAAGGAATTAGTTTTGGCAGAACCTCAAAATGAACCTGAGCTCCAGATCCAATCTGGCATTAGAGACTGAGAAGAACAGCAGAGGAGCTGACAAGCTGATTGTACGGAACTGTCACGGTTGGCCGGGGACCTAATCCTGCCTCCTGCCAGTAGGCTGTCGTGGCTGTGCTGCCCTGCTGCTGAGGCTCAGGAGGCAAGTGATATCCCCCATCCATGGAGGTTACCTTATGACATCATGCACAGCAAGGCACTTCAAGGTCAGGATTACAGATGTCAGACTGGTTCTCTTGATCTCTGGGACTGTGTGATCAGGCATACACTGCTCCCAGAATTCTTTGTTGTATAGCCGATAGCTTTTTCCAGATGATGTCCTGCCAGCTCTGCCAGCTCGTTGCATTGCTTCACTCCTGCCACAAGGAAAATAGAGGGGAAAACACCCCCAAACCCCTTGATCTGTTACGTTATCCAAACAAGCATACTGCAATTATGATAAATAACAACAATTTTCGTGCTTGTGGATGACAGTTTTAATATATCGTGTGGCAGCTAAGAAATCCAGCTACACAAGAACTAACAGAATGAAGGAGTACTTTTGCGCAAGGGAAATTTTATAAGACTTCTCTGAATCGGGCTGTTGTATTCAGCAAATAGAGGATGACATGTGAGCCACTTCTCAGACTACAGATAACACATTGTTAATTCTCTCTTAATGCTCAAAACTTTTAAGAAATTATACCTCCCCAAATACTTTATATGCAGCAGAAAACAAAATGGCTGTAAATTACAGACCCTCAAAGCCCCATTCTCTCCTCAATTATCTTTTTTTTTTTCTTTTAAAGAGCGACTGATACATAGTCTTGTCAAATCAACTCCCCGAAACAACAAACAAGAGACCCTTTTCAGACTTACTTTGAAATGGGAACCACCTCCAGTATGTCCAAGCCAACTCGGGGGTTATGATTCAACTGCTTCACAAATCCACTATCTACCACGTACCTGAAAAAGATGCAAAAGGCCTGAACAGGCAGAGTGGCAACTGTCACACACACATGATCAGCACAAGGAGACCATGCTTTCCCTAGAATCACTGCAAATGGGCAGTTGTACTTCGCTCGCTAGCTGCAACCTCGCAACAGTTCAGTCTACAGGATGCTATGGATAACACCTCCCGCACCCAAAGAAATTACACTGATTTAACGGAGCTGGGATACAGGGCTTTAATTTGGAATTAGACTCCATCAATATTAGTCATCTGTAAGACTATATAACAGTATCTAGGCCTTTTATCCACTACGTATATAAAAAGAAGGCAGCAGCTAGTTTATTGGGCAGGTATATTAGCAGTCAGAGGAGTTTTTCCAAATCTAGTAGAACTTTCTGAATTATTCCCTCTGTTACAGTTTTTATGAAGGACAGGAAACGATACCTGACTCCTTCAATTGTCAGAGACGTTGCAGCAATGTTTGTCGATACCACGCATTTTCTAATGCCTGTAGGAGCTGGCAGAAATATTCGTTTCTGTTGATCTAAAATGACAGACAGGTTGTCCATCAACAATCCATTATGTTGCAATGCTCTGATATCAAACCACATCTCTAACATTGGGCAAGCTTACTCAAACGCATAGTGAAATTAGTTTGAACGAGATTAGAAAACGAATCACAAAACATTTCAAAACAGAGATTAGCTATTACTTCAATGTACGTTAGGAATCACAGAACGTCCTCTTTACCGCTCCCCCTTCCAAGGAAGATCTGAGATCAAGAAAGGCCAATACTCCTGGATGTTTCCTAAACACAGAGCTAGGAAAACAAATAAGATGCCTGGTCTTAACAGAATCTTCATGAAGGATTCGAAGGCTTTTAACAATCAGAGCAAGTGAAGGTGAACATGGAAAGATTCAAGCAAAACCTCCATGCTTCCAGATGATCTTATTTTAACCTGTAGCTAAGCAACATATGCTATTCCCATTAATTCATTTGACTTTCCAAGAAACAAACATCGGAGGTGGATATTCAACTAAGGGAGAAAATTTCAGAGGATAAAATACTATATTTAAAAATATCAAACGATCTATAAGGAAAATTCTCTGGGGTATATAAAGAGAGCCAACTAAAACAGCTTCTGAGAAACTACCACAAAAGCAAAAAAAGCAAAAAAAATTCCTTAGTCAGTAGTCTTACACCTATGAAAGGATTAAGAAAGAAGCTATACCTTTCTTTTACACAACTTTTCATTTCACTCTTTTGAGAAGGTAAAAGGTGTGCACTCTCTCTGCAGGTCATTACCAGTCTCCCCTCTCAGAAGCACTTCCAGACTGAAATTGCTGCCCTGCTCTTACGAGCACTCACTCATTCAGCCGCTTGGCATTGTATGTACTGCACCCACGCATTTAAACACCACATTCAAGATCATCTGAAAATACAGTATGTGTGTTCAGTAAAGGTCACAGAGTCTTTGTTTTTAACTCTTCAAAACTAACTGTGGTATTGCTGCCAAATAAAACGGGGTGACTCATTCTGATAATCTACACTTTCTGTGTTGGGTAACACTGTATTCTTTGTATCTTCTCTTACAGGTCTACTCTCATCACTGAAAACCTAGCAGACGTATATTATTTTTTTAATAAAAAAATAGCAACACATACAATTAATCTAAATAAATTAGGTCAAGTCCCTTTTAAAAATAGCTACAAAATAATTTATTTGAAAACAGGCAGTCGCTACTGTATCTCACCACGCCCTAACAAGATACAGCCAGAAATACATATGAGGCTTTCAGGACAACACTTTAAAATATGAACCCTCCCTTGCCCCAAAAAAAAAAAAAAGTTCTTATGCCACTTAATCATGCATCCCATTAACCATATGGAGCTGAGTTAACAAGCTCTCTGACAGAAGACTTGCCCAGTCTTCAGCTTGAAGGATAACGGCTCTAACAAGAGACCTCAGGGCAAATAAGGGAAGTTGCTTACAGCTAGAAGCTCCCTGCCACAGTACAAGAATTTCCCCAATGGGACCTGTGGAACGTGTCAGTTTTGCAAGATAGCTACCAACGCAAAATTCCTCTAAGAGTCAAAGCCCATTAATACCTTGTTTCTCTCGGCACGTCACTTTTCCGATACTGAAAATTCCAGTAAGTATACAGTATCCAGTAAGTAGCCTGTATTAGAAGAAAGAATCCCTTTTTCTTTTAAGTGTGCAGCAAGATTTATCCAGGCCTTCCAGCCAAATGACTACATGCATTTCCCCATGAACTGTGATGGCCGTAAGTGATCTGAACTCTGGTTTTATGCATAAATAAAAAGAATGAATTTTCAGTGACCCAATATCACCTTCCTAAGTCGGAGACCTTCATTCTGTATTGTGACACAATACCTCCCATTTCCAGTAGGATATGGATTTTAACATGAGGTTTCTGGGCAAAAGTAGCATGAAGTTTGATTAGTTTAAGAACAACACAAACAAAAAAACAGAACAGTGCTAGAGTATTGCAACAAATAGGTTAACAAATACCTTTTTTCCAATCACATGAAAGATATTTGAGCAGAATGATGTTTACAACAATTCCTACAGTTAACATTTATGTTAATTAAGTTCCATTACATGCATCTTACCTGTTGACATTGACCCATACAACGGTAAGATAAGCAGGCCTTCAACAGAACGATCTTGTACTTCATATCGGTAATCTATAGATTCTGCTTTGTGGAAAAGTAAGTCGCAAGTTCTCTCTATCTCAGCTTGACCTAAAAAACCATGCAAGAGCATTTAAATGACCTATTTAGCTATAACTCTGCCTTCCTAGTTTGCAACATCACTAAATAAGATTGCTTTGCCAACATTACCAAGCCATCAGTACCACTGCAAGAAGAAAATAGTATTTATGAGAGTTAGCTTAGGTGTTGACATTCCATCCTTCCTAAGTGCCTCTCACTGAGGCTTCTTGGTAAAACGATTACACAGAAATATCATGTATCACTTTGGGTGCCTGACTCATGCGCTCATGCTCTTTTTGCACTTAAGAGAAATTCTGTCTTCCTGAATTAAACAAAAACAAAAAACACAAAAAGCCCCCATCTAGACAAGATAAACATAGGTGAAGTTTGGCACAAGAGAAAAAGAACACACACACACAAACTTTCAACTTCGTATTTTTCACTTCTGATCTTATAGGCACTGATGTACATAGCGATGCTCTGAAAGATACCACTTCACAGGATTGTGTCTGTCTGTATCCAGCTCCCCCTTTTCTGCTTCTCAGTGTCGGACGAATCAGGCAGTCATTGGAAAGACACTGTTTTGCTGGCAATGCCATCCTTCGCCTGGAATAATCATCAGTTGTTGAAAGAAAGAAATTCTTACCTGTCAGAAAAACCAAGATGTCTCCTCTTGGTTCATTTAAGTGGATATCCAATGTCACTTTTATAGCCTGAAACAAGCAACAAACAAGCCAATAACAGCTGGACCTGGAAACTCAATTCCTCTTTCCAAAACACATAATACTAATTCTTTCCCATATCCTGCAGATGTGCTAAGAACACAGCAGTACAGCAGCTGGATCTTGTGGCCTTTCACAGATGATAATCATGCCAAGAACAGAGAGAACACAACACAGAAACAAAGGAAAATAAGCCTTACCTCTGTAACATACGCAGAGCTTCCCGTATCCTTTGGGCCAAGCAGGTTGCAGAATATCTCCTTGACTGGATAATTTCTCCCTGGAATATGCAGCACTGAACACTGTCCAAAGAACTCTGAGAGCTTGTCTACCTCCAGGGTAGCTGACATCACCACCAGTTTCATGGCCCGCTTCCTGCCCAGTGGTTTCTTCTCTAGAAATAGTTTCTTCAGCAAACCAAATAAAATATCCTAAAAGAAAATAGAAGCCACTTACATAGGTATCTCAGTTCTCCTAGAAGTGCCTGATGAAATATGGGACTGATTTTATTCCATGGACTTAGCAATGGCAGAAAATTACAACTTCAGGGCCTAAGCGCTCAGACAAACACACACACACACACACACACTTCATCTTGGTCTTCCCATAAACACATTAATTGGTCTCTAGAATGTTTTCTCAGCTCTTCTTGCAGCCTATAAACTGAATCTGCATAACTTAAAATCCTTTACTTTTCATTCTTATATTCTCATGGTCAAGCCAATTGTAAGCAGTTACCTTAGAGAAATCACCACCTTCGTCCAGCGTACAGTATCTGAATGAGAACGCATACTCCTTTGTTGTACTGTTTATTGTAAGAACTTGAGCAAATTTGCTTTTAATCCACTACAATGCAGTGTAAAATATGCTCCATTTTGAGTTAGTTACAGGTAATGTAAATTACATCACTTCCATCACTCTAGCTCAATTACTTACAACGCCCTCAGATGTTTGAGGACAGAACGGGGATTCAGAAAGAACTTCTCTTTTACCCCAGACTGAAAGACAGATTGTTTGCTTTCTTTGATAGCATGGCTCACTAGTTAGGACAGTCTGGACATAGGTTCCCTGCTACTGCCAGGCTCCTGGCTTCACAGTGCTCAGTCTCTCCCACCCAATATCTCTAACACGGAACAACACGGTCTCTTGCGGACTGAGTCACTTGAGTCTCACTCTAATTGCTATAGAGGGGTCAGAGTGACATTTGATAACTTTTGACACAGAGTAGGTCAGTTTAGATACTTCCATGACCCCAAAGGGTATAATCTGTCTGCACAGGGTATATACACCCTATGAAATGTTGAACCTTACAGTGAGATAGATGTTCTTTAAAAAAGTATTACAGAAAGTTTACGTTCACTTTGACGGCTTCAAACTTCTGGAAATTTTGGGAAAGCATCCAATGCCAAGTTCGAACTGTTTTGAAAAACAACAGTAGCTACAACAGTTCCAACAGTTATTACAGGCAACATCTTATTTTCAGACTATGCAGCATGTAATAAACTAAGCAGCAGTTATATTGTCTCAGGACAGCATAAGGATGAAACACACCCATGCGAAAAATCAGCCAAAATCTTTGGGAATTGTTTAGAAATACAAGAAAGGCATTAACAGACCTCAATAAAAGAGGAACAGTAACCCAAAAGGACAGCCATGTAGGAATATTATGAACAGATATAAACTGCAAACTCCATGATACCGCAAGAAGGTCTCAGTCAGATCTCAATATCTTTTCAATCAGAGACACAAGGAGCCAGGATTCCTGAGTGCTAGTCTTACTCTAGGAACTGACCCACTGTGAAAGATTTTAAGCAGTCACTTAGCCTGTTCTGTGCTCAGTTAAAACTTTGCTCTCAGTAAGCATGGATGCAATTTTCAGTATGTAAACCTGTTAAAGAACCTTAAATGGAAAGTAGACCAGAAGGGACAAGTACCACATCTTCATTATTTTTCCAAGGAGTTACAATTTCTCCTTTAGCAATACCAAAGACTTGGATTCAAGAAGGCAACACTCACAGTGCTGAGGCTCCGCTCATGGGCTTCATCCAAAATGATGATACTGTACTTGCTGAGGAGAGGGTCTGCCAATATTTGTCTCAACAAGCAGCCATCAGTCATATACTTGATCGCAGTATCCTGAAAGGTTTCATTAGACATTCAGCTGTTGTCCTGGATATTTAATTCAAACTAAAGTAAACATTTCTACATAGACCAGATACTCATCTAGCATACACATTTAGATTACATCACATTAATTTATAGGCGCTTGGCAATGTTTCAGTTGTAACATATTAAAAAAAAAAAAACTAATCAAATGAATTACTTGATACACATAGTTGCAGTTTCACTCCAGCTGTTCACAGCGATGAACACAATAAACAAGCTAAAACCAAAAATACAAAAAACCCTTACAGCTCTTAGCACAGAGCAAAATTAGAGTTTAATTAGGCTCCAAAGTAGATTAGGGGATATTCCAAAACAGCCCAGGGATATTCAAAAACTTTGAAGCACCCCTTTATACAGGAAGTAATGTGCCTAATGCTCAATGTCTGGGAAAGACCAAAACCTTAATGCCTGAAAGCTTTTAAGAGCAGGATGAAAGCTCTCAGGTTGCATATATTTCATCCTCCCAGTAGGAGGATGGCTGGGACAGACAGCTTCTCGAAGCTCAGCCCTTCTGTTCTCATGCCTGCGAAGCCCCAGGGAAGGCAACAGGGCAGCATTACTACAAGTCCCACAAATAAGACTTTAAAACTTGAGTCGCGGCCCACTGACACCACCCCACGCTGCCAAAACTGCACTCGGGGGAACAGGGCCCTCGGAGCCCTACCTCGGAGGTGCAGTCGTCGAAGCGGACCTGGTAGCCGACGACACCCCCCAGCGAACAGCCCATCTCCTCGGCCACTCGCCGCGCCACCGAGAGAGTGGCCACGCGTCGCGGCTGGGTCACGCCAATGGCCCCATGCTTGGCGAGGCCTACAGGAGAGATGAGGAGAACAGGGGCGCTATATATATATAAATGTGCACGTGTGTATGTGTGTGTGTGTGTGTATTTATATACAAAACATACACTTTTTTGAGTTTAAAAGGCTTAATCAACCCATCTCTGTCAACCACAAACACAGCAGTGCAGTTGCACACCACAGCCTGAAGCTGAGCCCTCCCTGAGGGGACAGGAGTATTTATTTGCACGTATTTCTGATTTTCTGCCACACTTCGGGGCCGAGGCCCCACCGTGGAGGGGGCTATGGGGGGGGGGGCCTTC